GAGGCGCTGGCGGGGCAGCTGCAGCCTCTCAAAGGGAGGACCGAAGGAGGCGGCCGGCACGCGCCTCCCCAGCCGTTTCCAACCCTCCAGAGACCTCTTCTGCCCTCCGAGTAGCAGCTTCATATATGAAACGCGTGGCTTTTTGTAAGATTAATCTCTGCGCCAAGGGAGGTAGACCATTTAAATAAGAAAAAACAGTAAGCAACTGCATCAAAGAACGGCGTTTTTTTAACCAGTTCAAAGCTGAATCAGGAAAGTTGACATTTAAAAAGTCAGCATTGGGTATGATTTTATTTGTCCTCAGCATAAAATACGATAAAATTGCTACAAATAAAGTAAACTGATTTTCAGATGACACAGAACAGTCCAGTCAGTGGCAAAATGCCACAGTAACAATATTTACAGGACACAGCAGCACAGCCTTGTGGCAGCAAATGTGATAGTTATTCTACAACTGGAAAGTCATTGAAGTCTGTGACATTCCACTGTAAATATACGTGTTGTTAAAAATTACAAACTGCCCTGTAATGACTTTGATAACCTCCTGAGCAGCAGCTCCTATTAAAAAAAAAAAAAAGGAGAGAAAAAAAATTAAAAAGAGATAACATACAATACTTAGCAAGTCACATTTTAAAACCAGTGAAAGAACTCATCTAGAACTCGAAACACTAAAATTTGGACCAGGCTTGCTAAAACTCCAGGGGAAAATACTTGCGGACACCAAGTCTGAACAAGCTTGTTAATTGAGAAGTTAGCTTCACATACACTTCAACATACATATTTTCTATATACTGTAAAAGCAGGTAAAAAAATGTGTGCCTGTATAAACTAACACAAATTGTTATCTTTCTAAAGGACTAAAATTGAGTAGTTTAAGTATACACTTAATTTTCACCCTTTGTTCTGTGAAACAGCAGTTACTTTGCTGTGATTCCTGTTTGCTCCTGCAACATGAAATACTGTGCAATTTCTTCAAAAGTTATTTTTACATATATTTCTAAAGCACTCTACTTATCAGTTTTTGCCTAACTAGAAGAAAACCCTCTATCCTTACACCAGTATTTGAGTATTTTTTGCACGTCATTTACATCTTCATTTAAATTACCATATCTATTACTACTACTATTCTTTTTTTGGTTTTTATTAGCTATTTTCCAATTTACATATTCTTTTTAACTGTTCACTGAGGTTTTAAGTTTACATTGTTTCTTTGAGTGACCTCAAATGCTAGTTTTGTCCAGTTTTCTATATACTGTGCCAGATCTGAAGAAACGAGAACAGAAGAATATTGTTTTAATGCTATCTTTGACCCCAGCCTGCATTTACAGTTTCCCCCCCCCGCCCCCCACATGTTTTTGCTTGCTTGTTTTCTTATGAACCTCAGAAATACAGGGGCATTCTTACCTCCCATGAACGCAGCAATAGCATGTGGCTCAGCAGCTCCATAGCGACAACTGGGTAGCAGAGTAACAATTAGTATTTTCAGGTCAGTTTAACAGACAAAAGAAAGTGATAATTATCATTCAGCACTTACAATTCATGAACATAATCATCTTTGACTACCACAGACAACCCATGTTCTTGCAGAAAACAAGTGAGGCAAGATTTCAGTTTTCCAATATCATCCTCTACCTGATAGTTGTAGACACCTGAAAAATAAATCGTTTCATCACATAACTGTAACAACATGTCAAAAATTAATGAGTTTAAGTGGCGATACACATATTTTATATTTTTAAACTATTTCTAAGATGATTAATATAGTAAACTTGTAATACTACATACTGCATTTATTAAATATTTCCACTGATGGTATTCATGGTAAGAAATTACTGCATATCTGAATTAACTCATAACACACCAGTGCTATCAATCCAGATAAATTCCTCAAGTTTCCAAATAGAAAGACTTTTCACTTTAACTTTTGCACTGAAGTCATATTAACATAGAACACAAAGATTTAATTTATAGTTTATACGTAGCATTGCAATACTTAGATTTTTTTATTATTATTATTTCTTATAGTGATACATCTAACTGGTATTAACTTACCTGGGTATCTACCATGCTGCTTATAAAATCTATCCACAGCTCGTAGCATTAAGTACAGAACTATTTCATTGTCTGGGTTATCCATATGGGAAACTGAAAAACAGAGAAAAAAGCTGTTAGGTGGTATAACTGAAATGAAAAAAAAAAAAAAGAAAAAGATTTTAGTTTTAAAAATCCAGTATTTCCCATGTGCCTAAAGTGTAAAAAATTTTGTTATGATCTCTGCAGAAAACAGAGATCTTAACCAAAAACAATCAAACAAACCCTGCAACCAAGATTCTCAGTTGAGTTGACTGTCAAATACAAAATTTTGAATTCAGAAGGTGCATGACAAAAAGATACGGTGTTCTGTGTAACCTCTGGTAATTGAAAATATATACATTTCAACTTTTCCAGCTGCTATAACTTTACATGAGATATTTCATTATTTGCTATCAAAACAAATTATTTGGTACTTTAAATACTTAATTGTAATGACTGTAAATAAGTAACAGTTTTAGATCAGTACTCAGTATTCTCCAGATCCCTACATTCTGAAAGTGGCTAAGACAATTTTATGCTCATGTGAAAATAACTACACAGGAGATACGGGAATGTTTAAAGAGAAATGGACTGTTTTATCTACATAATATCAAAAACAGAACACGTACAGGAAAAACTAAAACGGACATTAATGCACAAGGTCATTTTTGAAGTTTTAAGGTAAAGCCAAAACCCAATACTCTAGACTTACTAACATGACATATCTAGAATACTAGCGATGGTAAATTATAAACTGCATATTGAAGTAGAAAATGTAACACAATTCATTTTGATCACAGAGCCATTCAAGTTGAAAATGCAATTACAGTACATGCAAAAAAACCCCAGAGTACTTACTAATCTCATCCTTATTAAAAGTGTTTAAACCATATTCTTCAGAAAGAGATCTGCATCGTACTACGCGAAGAAAGGCTGAATTGCTGCCTGTGCAGAAGGGGCAGAAAGAACATCACTACTCGAATGCATCATTAATTACTAACTATGTGCCCATCTCATTTATTAAACATGAAAAGTCTGAAACTTATCATGTATAGTTTTGTTTAACTCTTTTTCTTTTTTTTGGTAGCTCAAATGCTGTTAGGCTATAGGCAGATCACAAGCATTTTAGCAAAATATTTACTTCTGGAATCTAAACATATCTGTGGTGTTAACATAAAGACTCACAATGTGTGACTCTCCTTTATAGAATTTCATGGATCACAGCCATCAGCTTCATCTTTTCCTCTTCCATGCTACAAATGAACATGGTTTCTTTTTATCTTTACCCATATCTAACACCATCTGACATAGTCACACTTAAAATTCTAACAGTGCAGCTACAAGCAAGAGGAGGATCTCTACCAGTATCAATTATAGGAACCAAACAAATGAGCAGCTATTAACTCAACACTCAAAAATGAAGAGCTTCAAAAGGTTCTCAAAAACTGCAGAAAAAAATTGCATCCCCATAGGGGAGACATGTTCTGGGCTATCTGCTTAGTGGCAAATTTTCCACTTGCATGGAGATTCAGACAGCTGTATGGACACGTCTACATATCCCCAAGAGACACAACCCAAATTGTCATAAACAGTACTGTATCCTTGTTTTACTTTTTCAGA